ACACCTTATCCTGTCAGATATTATAGACTCCGATATCCCATGTAGCCTGACCACCTCCCTGATGAATGCGGCTGCTACTGTCACTGCCGTGTAAGGATGTTATAAGGGGATAAAGTGAGCATAATTGCTCAATCTGTCAACTACCACCAGAATCACTATAAACCTGGCAAAGTAACCCGCAAGAGCCATGGCCATATACTTGTTCCACTGACACGCGTCACATCTAGCCACCATATCTTCCACATCATTGTGCATCCCCTTCCAATACAGCTCTGCTGCCAATATCCTGTATATATTTTGCACACTAGAGTGACCCCCAATCACACTCCCTTGAAACTCTTGCGGCAGCTGTAGTATATGAACTAAGGTCTGAGGCATCACAAACCGCCGCTAGTACAACAGTCTCTCCCCTCTAGAAAGTAGCCCGGGTGACTGTTCTTATCCTTCAAAAAATCTGCTCTAATTTTTTTTCAACTCTTCTTCATGCATACTCTCCTCTTTGATAGCTCCCCAACCCAACATGAATGGTATCGACATAGCCAACTACTGGAGCTCCGCCATGCATCTGGGCAAGGTATCCGCCACCTTATTCTCCAATCCTGGCCTATAATATATCTCGAAATCATAGCCTAATAGCTTTGACAACCATCTCTGATGCTCCTCAGTCACCATCCTTTGCTCAAAAAGGAATTGTCTCGTCCTGATAATGAAATGCCGACCCAACAAATATGGTCGCCACTTATGAATGACTAATACAATGGCCATCAATTCCGTCTCATAGACTGACTTCAACCTAGCTCTGGTTATCAATTCTTGGCTAAAGTAGGCTATGAGTTTGTGATTCTACATGAGTACGACCCCTAACCCATATCCTGATGCATCCGTCTCCACCACAAAAATCTAACTGAAATCCGATAGGGCCAAAATCGGTATTGTGGTCATGGCTTTCTTCTGTCTGTCAAAAGCCCATGTAGCCGCCTTTCCCCATAAAAAGCTATCCTTCTTTAGCTTCCATATTAACTGTCAGGCTATGGTGCTGTATCCTCTCACAAATCTCATGTAGTGCCACATCAATCCTAAGAGGCCCCTTAGCTTTCTCAAGTTTCTAGGTAAAGGCCATTTCTATATTGCCTCAATCTTGGCTTGATTTATAGCCACCCCATCCCGAGAGACCATGTGCCCCAAGTATTCCACACTAGCATGTTCAAAGTAGCACTTCTTTAGGTTGGCCTGAAGCTAATGCTCTTGTAATACTTCCAAGACCACCCTCACATACTCCAAGTGCTCCCCTATCGACTTGTTGTACACCAATATGTCATCAAACAAAATCATTACTAACTTTTGGAGATATGGTTTGAACACACTGTTCATGAGAAATTGGAAAGTGGCAGGGGCGTTTGTGTGTTCAAATGACATCACCAAGAACTCATAATGCCCCCTCATGTGTCATGAAAATATTCGTTGGGACATCCCACTTGCTCATCCTGATTTGATGGTATCCCGACTTCATATCCACCATGGTGAACACTACTGCTCCACACAGCTCATCGATCATCGGTATGAGAAACTTGTTTTGCACAGTCTTCTTATTCAGAGCCCAATAATCAACGCAGAATCTCTAGGTTCTATCCTTCTTCTTGACCAACAAGACTGGGTTAGAAAAAGTTCTCATGCTTGGTCTGATGATCCCCACCTCCAACATCTCTCGAATCAGCTTCTCAATCTCATTCTTTTGAATCTAAGGGTAACGGTATGGTCGGACACTAAGCGGTGACACCTCCCATAGGGTGATGGCATGTTACTGTTCTTTCGGTGGTGATAAGCCTTGAAGTGGCTGAAAGACCTCACAAAACTGTTGTATGAGTGGCTGTACTAAAAGAGGAATGTCTCCTATTCCTCTAGTATGATCTCTTATAAGCTCTGCAGTTCCACCATAAATCCTGCTCCCACCTCATGTATGGTCCTGACTATGGTTTTTAGAGACCATGCCCTTGGATAACCCTGCATCTCCCTAGATCACCACTCTTCTTCCTTCCACCACTAGTTCCATTGTCACTATTCCCTAATTGACCTTAGTATCTCCCAAGGTCTGCAACCATTTCATCCCCAGGATGACATCAGCACTCCATAGCTCCAATCAGAAAATATTCTCCCTTGAACCCTCTGTATAGTTAGCAAAAATCCCCTCCATAGTGCTCTAACCATCTCCACCTTCCTAGTGTCCATCATCACCCCATAGCTCCCAGTGTCCACCAATTTCATCCCAAATTGGTCAATGACCTGATTGGAGATAAAATTGTATGTAGCTCCACTATCGATCAATACCACCACCTATCTGTCTGCTATTTCTCCTTTTACTTTCTTGGTGTGATTTGGAGTGAACCTCACCACTGAGTTTAAGGAGACTTCGACCATGTCAAGATGCAGCTCTTACTCCTCATCTACCACTACCTCACTCTCTCCTCCCTCTATTGGAAATTTTTGTCATCCTCAACATGTTGCATATTTTGTGATCGAATACGACATAAGAAAGATGATATATTACCCCGAAGGATAAAAATATCATTTGTTATGGACTCAATAACAAAATTTATAATTTTGATAGAGATTCTCCCTTTCAATATTTGGTTGAATGAGGTTTATTTTAATCTGGGATACAGATGCCCCATAGTGGCGAGCCCCTATGATTAATTGCATGGTGTTTGAGAAATTTTTTGATTAACTAGTAGTTTTCTTTCTTTTGAAATCATCAAAATATTGGCTAAAATTTTTTCATTTTGAAATTTGTGAAATTCTTGCTTAAAGAGTTTTGGTCTAAGAATGAGATGTCCAACATATAGCTTTTGGGCTAGATGTTGGAGGATTCTCCTTAGCTTATGGAAATATGGAGAAATGAATGAAATTCATAGCTTGGTGGCTAAGAGTTGGAGATTTCTCTAAGATTTTTGGAGCTCATAGAGAAGAGGGGTGACTTGTAGCTTTTAGGCTATAAATAAAGAGGTCTCTTTGAATTTTTTTTTGTATTCAAAGAGAGGGATATATTTGTTTAATTTGGATTAGGCAAATAAAATATAGGTCACCAAAATGCAATTGGGGTTGCAAATCAATAAAAGGGTTATCATTGAATTTTATGTTCAGTGATGGATAATTGATTTGCTAAATTTTGATAAAGCAAACACAAAGAAATGACATGTAGATTGGGACTACAAGTCAAGAATTCTTTGGATTTTTGGATATCCAAAGAGAGGAACTTATTCACGTAACTTGGGTTAGGAGAATGGAAGAAAGCTAGGATTTTTTCCTATGCTTGACATGAAATTATGTGTTGATTTTGGTTCAACAAATAAATGATTTGGTGTGAACTACTTGTTGATTTTGGTTCAACAAATAGATGATTTAGTGTAAGTTTGATTCACTCAACATGGGTTGAGTGAATGAGAGTTTCATACAATTTTTGAATTATAGAAAGAAAGGAATATCTCTACAATCTTGACTTGTAGAAAAGAAGAGAGAGATGCAATTGCAAACTCATGAAGGATCTTTGAACATTTTGGTGTTCAAAAGAGGTCTACACTCTCCTAATTTGGGTCTTGGAGAATGATGGAATTTCCTATAACTTTTGAGTTGTAGAGAGGATTTCTCTACAATTTTGGCTTGAAGAAGAGAGGAGAAAATGCAACTTATGAGTTGCAAATTCGTGGATTCCCGTTGAGTGTTGAATGTTAAAAGGGAGAAGATTATCTACCCAACTTGTGTTGGGAAAATATGAGAAGGTGATATGTAGATCTGGATTACAAGCCATCATGGGTTCTCTTTGAACTTTTATGTGATATGCAGTCCTATTCATATTGGTACAGTAACCTATTTGCAATGTTTATACTCCATGGACTTTAAGTTGTTTATGATACTTGAAACATAGCGTCTACCTATAATGGAAAAACACCAATACTTTTGTTTACATGTTGTGTCAGCCCCCTATTCTGCATTGTTGTTTATTTTGATGTTTATATCAAGAAAATTAGTTAAAAATGTTACTGAAGTTTTGGCTGTTGATAAATTTTTTCGTGCATATTAATTCGGAAACTACTTGCATTGCTGATTCATCTGTAGCATGTTCTTAGGTCACCTGCAAATGATATTAATTTCAAATCTAAGAAGAATTAACAGCTTTATTGGGTAAACTCTATTCTAGTAGAACTTTAAGAAAAAGTTTTTATTTTAAATTTTAATATATTACTTTCTAATTTTTGACACTCCCATTAGTATACATCAGTCAATCAAAATTCCGTAGTTGCTATATTTTCTTACTTGTGGTTGCCTACCATCCTCTTATTTTGAGAATGTTTGTATCGACATAATTTGTTCTTATGACGGTGCATCAACATATGGTGGCAAGGCTGTTGATCTTACTATACCATAAAAAACTTGGGCCAAAAATATCAACTTTATTGATTATGTGACCATAGAGCAAGTATGGAAAATAAATGGATCATTTATGATATCTCAACTGGAAAAATGCTTTAGTTGGTTTCATGAAAATAAAAGTGTTGAATCTTCTATAGATATTGCTAGTACATATTTGAAATTTTACTCTATTTGAGAACACATGCAACGTGATGATGTTTAGTCATATATATCTCCATATCAATCTCCCATGTTGGTGCAAACTTGAGCTGTTTGATGCATGGGTAGCTTAGAAGGGTTCAAAATTTGCTATCCTGCTACTTCTGATAGTGTGGATCAAAATGAATGCTTTTAATTTGTAATTTGTGTTTCATATTTTTAAAAGAAATAAAAAAGCAAAGATAGCGAGAGAAACAAAAAAATTGTGTGTTTTAGTGTCTGCCTCTTTATAGAGGGATGGCAGTCTACATCATATTTGTTTTATTTTTGAAGAAAACAATTTATATTTGGAGTTGTTGATCTCTGAAGTAGCTATTTTGATAGCTGATTTTGTTATAATGCTTTCATTTATAAGGCATGCTTTCCTTCTTCTTCAGGCTGGCAGTATAGATATTCTTCATTGCTATTATGCTCATGGAGAAGATGATGACAACTTTCAAAGAAGATGCTACTGGCTGCTTGATGGGTAAGTCATACTATCTACTGACACCTTCATTTCGGTTATGTTATTTTTGCTTGGATTGCAATCATGGTTTCATCTAGACCTGCTTCATAGCATCATAAAATATTACTTTTTTCTTTCTTTTTAAAATTTACTTTAATGCAATATTGTATTAGTTGAACTTAAAAGAGAAGGTAACCTATCAAGTCAATTGTAATTTTTATGAACTTATCCCAAATATTTAAATTTTGGCTTTATGAATTTTTATTTTTCATTTATTTCTATAAAGTGTCATTTAAGAAGTTATACCTATTCTCTCAAATTGCTTTACATAACTGTTAAATTTAGAGATTTGGAGAGGGAAAAGCTAGGGTTTTTTTTTTCATTGTACAAAACTATTTCTATTTATAGATTTATACAATATATCTTAATAAAGAAACAAATAAATACAAAATCATACATAATTGCTCTAATATAATATTTCCTAAATCAGACACCCAAATATGGAAGGAGATCGATGTGATCCACATGAGCCTCCCACGGATTCCCATCCTGGTTGTGGGATCAAGGGTCAATGGGCGGTTGAGATTTTAACACTCCCCCTCAAGCTGGGTAATACAGATTTGTCATTCTCAGCTTGGTAATTAGTCCAAGAAAAGTAGAGTTATTAAGTCCCTTAGTGCATCATAGAGTCCTCCATTTGGTCAGAACTTTAGGAGAAATTAGTTTCATACATTATGGTGGCAAAGGGTAGCAATGGAAGCTATATTAAGCAGGGCAACAATGAAGGCTGCATTTGTTATATATAGAATAGAAATCATAAGGAAAGGTCGACAATGAAGGCACAACAATAGAAAAAAAATGTTTTTAGGGTTGTGAAAAGCTTTAAGGATAGCAGCAGAAAAATACGTCTCATGAACTGAGAATTCTCTAATAAAGTCTTCCCTTCCCCATGCATAATGGGTTGAAGCACCCCAAGGCTCCAAACACCTCATTGCATGAAACATTTTGACTTAGGACCAAGATCCTAAGTTCGTGACATTTTGTTTGTTGATACAAAATCAACAAGCATTTGTTTGTTCCCCTTCATATGGGACATTTTGGAGCTTCCTCAAGGCCCCAAAATGTCCCATTGACTTCAACCATCAAGACTTTAGGATCAAATCCTAAATTCCTTTTCCATTCGCTAATAACACAAAATTAGCGAATGATAATCCTTCTTCTTCATGCGTGATTACTTGGAATTTCCTAAGACTCCAAGCATATCATTGTATGAATAATTTGGGCTTGAAGCCAAATTTCGAACTCTTCTACCTTATTTGTTGGAGCGCCAAATCAACAAACATTTCTCTCATGTATAGTATTTGAATCCTCTTTAAGGTTTTGAATGTCTTATATATGAATCGTTGGAGCTTGGAACCAAACTCCAAGCCATCCACCTCACTTGTTGAGACCAAAAAAAAATCAACAAGCAATCACCCCTTACATGCATGGTTGTTTGGAACCTTTCAAGTCTCCAAGCATCTCATTGCATGAATCACTCGGAGTTTAGGGACAAATCCTAAACTACTTCTTTCGTTCGTTGAGACAAAATCAACAAATTTATGCACCTCCATATGGAATATTTTGGAGCCTCTCTAAGCTCTAAATGTCCATCATATGGATCACTTGAGCTTGAAACCAAACTCTTAAGCCATCCTACTTTGTTTGTTGGAGCATCTAACCAACAAACATTACTTCCATGTGTGACACTTTGGAGTCTTCCCAAGCTTCAAATGTTCCCTTACATGAATCATGAAGATTTTAGGAAACAAATCCTAAGTCCCCATTCCATTTGCTAACAACACAAAGTTAGCAAATGAACATTTCTCCTCTCATATATGATGATTTGGAATTCTCTAAAATTCCAACTTATCATTATATGAATATCTTGGAGCTTAGAGTCAAAATCTAAGCTACCCCTTTCTTTTGTTTGAGACACAAAAGATCAATGAAAGAATATCCTCCTTAGGCTTAAGATTCTAAATCTAGTCTATCTCGTTTGCCTAACCTATATAGGTAGATGACCTTCTCAATTTGTAGTCTCAAAACTACGCATTGTACCTCTTATTCATGATGTTTGGAGCTTCCTTTTAGCTCCGAACATATCTTTCCATGAGTTGGAGGGAACTTGGAACCAACTCCCAAGTTCTTTTATCTTGCTTGTTGGCACAAAATCGGCAAATTAGAACTATCCTTCCATCCTATTCATTGGAACATGAAAAATCAATGAATAATCCTCCCAACATGAGACTCAAACCATAGTTTTCTCTATTCACTTAACCTAAACTAAGTGGATGATGAACTCTCTTTGGACATCAAATGTCCAAAGTGCATCTTCAATTGGCAACTTTTAAGTTGTATTTCCTCCATCATCTCCTATAAACATAAATTACAGGAGAGCATCCGAATTGCCTTCTCATTCTCCTAAACCCAAATTTAGGGGAATGGCTATCCTCTTTTGAACATCAAATGTTCAAGGGCACTCAAGAATGTGTAACCTCTAAGTTGCACATTCTTTCCCTTTTCTACCAAATAAAAAAGTGTAGAAAATCTCTCCATTCACCTAGCTTAAAAATAAGTGAATGTGTGTGTGTGTCTCTCCATTCACATTCTTTCCCTTTTCTACTAAATTGCATTTTCTTTCTTCTTCTCCACAAACTAAAATTGTAGAGAAGTTCAATCTCCTACAACTCAAAGATTGTAGAAAGTATCCCCTTTTCATCCTTCCAAACCCAATTTGGAAGAGTGAATATCTCTCTTTGGGCATCTAAAAGCTTAAAGAGAATCCATGGTGGCTTGTAGTCCAACTATGCATATCACCTTCCCTTATTTACCCAACACAAGTTGGGTAGACCACTTCCTTCCTTTGAATCCTCAATACTTAAAGGAGCATCCTTAACTTTGCAGCTCACAAGTTGCATTTTATCCCCACTTTCTTCTCTAAAAACCAAGAATTGTAGAGCATTTTCATCCTTTCTACAAATCAAAAGTTGTATGGAACTCTCTTGCAATCAACTCATGTTGAGTGGTTCAATTTTGTTTCAAGCTAGCCTACTTGTTGAACCAAAAGCAACAAGTAATTTCATCCCAAACGTAGGATTTAAAAGTCCTATCTCCCTCCATCCTTTCAACTCAAGTTGGAAGAGTGCAACCCTCTCTTTGAATATCAAAGTGTTCAAAGATTTTCATGAGCTTGCAACCCCCAAGTTGCATCCCTTCTCCTCTTCTCCTCCAACCTAAATTGGAGGAATGAACCTCTTCTTTGGACATCAAATGTTCAAAGGAACTCCACCAATTTGCAATCCCTAGGTTGCACATTGGATCACTTCTTTTCCTACAAGCCTAAGTTGTAGGCAACCGCCAAAATTCCTTTCATTTACCTTAACCTAAACTAAGAAAACAAAACCCCACCTTCTTGAAAACAAAAATTCAAGAAGGCACTCTCTTGATTTGTAACCTCAAAATTACAAATCCTCCTTCACTTCTATATGCTCCAAAAGCCTTAGAAAATTTCTTGCCGTAGCTTAAAAGCTACAGGTTTCTTCATTTTCTCCTCCAACTTCCACATCATAGGAGATTTTCCCTCTCTTTAGCTCTAAAAGTTAGAGAGAGTTCTCCAACATTTAGCCCAAAAACTAAATATTGGATTCCGATTTTCTCTTCTTAGCTCCAAAGCTAAGGAGAATTCTTCAACATATAGCCCAAAAGCTATGTGTTGGATTCCCTTTCTCCCCCTTCTTTAACCTCAAAGCTAAAAGAATTATTCATTCTGTTTCTATCTCCAAAAGCTAAGGGGAATTCCTCCAATATTGAACTCAAAAGCTACATGCTGGACACTTCTTCCTTAGATCCAAATTCTAAGAGGACCTTTAGTGTGGCATACCACACAGCCTCACACACTTAGGTGCACGACCCCTTAGGTATACTAGGATTAACATTTTTCTTTGTATGCGCATGTGATTGATGATTTGGTGTGAATGCCCTTTTGGATTGTCTGCGTTGTGGGCACTTACCCTTAAGTGGTTAGTATAAAAATATATACATGCTTTTCTGTGCAGGTGGCCATGTCCAAGAAGGGGATAAATTAAATCATGATTATCATAATGTTGTTTGCTTGTAGGTGCTGCTTAAAACCCCCCAAGAGGCATGACCAATAGGGCAGAAGCAGGTGCTTAGCACTCTAAGTGTTAGGCCAATTTTGGAAGTGATATGATGATTATATAAACTGCCGTCTAACTCTATTTTGCAGGCTTGAGTTTTTTTTATTTTATATCATGTATTTGATTAGATCTATGATCTAAAACTTGTGAGGTTTGGACTAGAAGAAAATGTGGATTAAAGAAGGATGTACTTCCTTAGAGGTGAAGCCTGAAGGTTCATTGAAGAGTTAAAGCTTGAAGATCCCCACAAGTAGAGTCTGTAATATATTAGCTGGGTTGTATAATGGCAGATAACTCAGCTGCCAAAATTGTTTTTAATAATTGGGACACTACTTGTACTTTTGTTTTGGTTTATATACAAGCATGTGTTGATTGTTTATTGGGTGCGCATTAGAAAAGCATGTCTTTTTCCTAGGTTTCTTCTATTGCTTTGTTTAAGCGTGGCCTGGAGTTTGGTGCGGTAGGCTCTTAGAACAAAATAAATTTTCTACCTCTTAACATGTAAAGAATCTAAAAAATGAAATTAGGCTCAATGATTTTCTAATAAAAAAAAATTTGCATGGCTCCCTTCAAGAAGCAAAGTTTTCAAAAATTAAAATAAACATGCATAGCCCCCAAAAGTGTCTCATGTAGAAAGCCCTCATATAAGGACTAGATAACCAAAAGTTTGCATTTGTGAGTCTGCATTCTGCATACCCCACATAAATAGGTATCTTGGCCTCAAAGCCGAGTTGTAAGCCCTACTTCTTAAATAAAAACAACCCTCCACTCTATATTTGCATAAAGACTGGACGACATGGTTTTAAAATTGATTAGGTGGGTCTAGCTGGTAGTCCTTTCCAGGTAGGACAGTAAATCCAGCGGTCAGGCCGATTATGCCTCATGTGAGGTGTAATTTGTAAGTCTTTTTGCATTCGTTAGACTTAGGCTCGAGGCACTACCTATCGGTAGTCCTCACTTTAGTTTTAGGGTTCGAGGCAATAGTTGATTTCAAATCACTATATAAGCCCTCACCTTTCGGGCAATTCCTTCAACAAGTGTTTTTGGATGTAAGCCCCAACTCTCTAATGAAAATATCAAACTTAAACAAAATTAGATTTTTAAAATGTAAAGCCCAACATAGGATTGTTTGAGCACCTCTGAGTTTCCCTCATAATCAAGTGCTCCTACTTCACCTCCTTTGGCTCTCATTCCAAAATCTAATTCTAAGTTGATCCTTTTACCTCCTTGAAATTTCTAAAGGCCAAAACCTTTAAACAAGACTTTCACAGATTTTTTTAAAAACAAAATTTAGCCAACATTTAAATGACTTTCAAAAACAAGCAAACCTCTAGTTTAATCAAAAGTCTTCCCAAGCCAAAGCTTGAGATGTAATTAACCCTAGCCCCTATGGAACGTCTGTACCCCAGAAACAAAATAAACTCCATTCGACCAAACATCGATTGGGGGGATCTCTGTTAAATTGTAAATTTTATCATTGAGTCCATAAGGAAATGGTATTTTTACCCTTCGGTGTAATATATCATCATTTTTATGCCGTACTCAATCATAAAGTATACAATCCGTTTGAGGACACAAAAATTCTCCAACAGACTTGGTCAAATGCAAGTGGCCTAGATGAGTTACTGACTCAATCAAGAGAGTGAGGAGCAACTTGAACTAAACCTATATTTAATAACATCAATATATCTTTGGCATAGTTTTCTACCTTAAGACACAAACTTGTTTCTCATGATACTCGATTATAGTCCTTTTCAAGATCCATAGAATTCATATGAAAATCCTTCATTTGCTCTCCATATTTCTCCATCAGGTGATTTAATGCGAAAATTGTTTATTTAGTAGATTTTTTTGGCATGAAGCTAAATTGATTCTCTAAAACTAATTTAATTTTTCTTGTCAGTTACAATTTCATTTGAATAATTTTATGACCCGTGCACTTATTGTATTTTCTGTTTCTAGTGGCTTATGAAGAAAGAGTACACGCAAGTGTGGTGTATACCTTAGTGGATATTCTGCTTTTAATTTTGTTGGGCGAGTTTGGATATCCTAATGTTGTAAATAATTCTAAGAGGTTACTTCTTTTGTAACTGCAGTGATAATTGTGTTAAAGAATTATTGAAATTTCTTAGACTAAGCACGGAGGGCCCATTATAGTGATGATAGGCACAGAAGGAGACTTGAAAGCTGAAACTTAAAATATTGGCTATGAAATTGAAGCACATGGATTCTTAAAGCTGAAACTGAAACTAGTGGCCAAATGATTTGAGTGATGGTAGAATTATTTTAATTAATGTCAATTGATTATTAAATTTACTCATTCAGTTTTCTTTTGCTTTTTCAGGCAGTTGGAGCACATTGTTCTTGTCCATTATAGAGATGTAAAAGAGGTGTTCGTCTATTCTATTTGCTGTACTATAGTTGTGCTTTTCCTTCCTATCTGCCTTGACTTTATGTTAAATAAATCACAGACTCTGGAGAGCAATGATGAATTTCATTCCATTTGTCATGACAGCATTTGGAAATGGATTCATTGAAATGCATCTTTTTTTATCTCTCTGTACTGCTTTGGCTTTCCGTCCTTTGCTATTTATCCCAACTAATTGCTATCAGTTTTACATGTTCTTATGACATCTTTCCTGTTAATAATGTTCGTTCCCATTGTAAAATCAAGTCAAGTTTATATTTTTTTTCTTTTATATATATACCAAAATTTCCCCAAAAAGAATATTATTGGTTTTTTTTTTGGAGACGACGAGTTCTCTTTTTTGACAATAAATGAATTATGCATCTTCTGCTTAGTGTAGGTATGGATGCCATTTAAATTATATTTGTCTTGTCGCTTTCATAAATGCTACAATACTTTTGTTAGTTCAAATTCAATATTTTGTGTCCATTGTATAAAACGCACACTCATGCTTTTACAAATAACTAAAACTCTTTATTTAGTTGTTTTACAACATCAAACCTTTGTCCCACTACGTGGGGTCGGCCAAACTCTTTATTTAGTTGTTTATCGGGTTAAATTTTAAAATAATCTCTCGACTATTTGTATTTGGCCATTTTGTCCTTGACAATAACGTTGCTCCAAGCCTCCAATTAAGTCCCTTGACTACACAAAATTAATCCAAAATGATCCCTTTGGGACAAAATTGGGGTCAATTTTGTAAAGTTGAGGGACTAAATTGGGATCAATTTTATATTACAATTACAACATGAGGGACTATTTTAGATCAATTTTGTATAGTCAAGGGACTAAATTGGGGCAACATGGTACTCTCGGATTAAATTTGCCATACACGAATAATTTGGAGACTATTTTGAAATTTTTCTAGTTGTTTATTTACTGTCGTCTTTTATGAGCTTTACCCTTGTACACATTTGATTGACAGTGTCCGGACTTCATGTGGTATTGAAGGCTGGAATCTTCTTTTATTGATTTGATATGTTCTGTGAGATTGACTAATTGAAAGTTTTTCAGGAAACTAGTTCTAGCGACCCTCAGTTATTAAGCAAAGGCCCGACAAGTCAAGGTGCTGAAACTAGTTCAGTAGCTGATTCTGCACATATCAATGCTTCTACTTTTGTCAACCCATCATCATATGCACCAATCACCACTAATGTAAACTGGAGCATGCCAATAGCATCTTCTGAATTTGAAGGTGTAGATTTAGGCAATGATTTGACTGGTGTTCCATTTGTTAAGTCTGTACCGGGTTCAGGGCTCCAAGTTGCATCATTACCTGGAAATAGCATAACAGGACCCATTTCGGCACTTACAGGCTCTAGTTTACCTCCTTACACAGCCGGTTCAATGAATACTGAACGCTTGAACAGATCAATTAATCATTTTTTCTTGAATCAAGTTACATCACTAAACCTTATTCCCGATGAAGGACAAAATGTTCAGGGAACTTCCCATGCAGCTGGTATACTCGAAGTTAATTCCTACTTTGAAGTTAAATAGTCAAAATTTCCTTTCTATATTTCAGATTTTGCACTTACAGAGGAATAATGATTGAACAGAAAAATATAGTTTGTGGGATTGTAGCATGTTGATATCTATTTATCTTTCCTGAGTTAAGCTAGCTTGTTCTGACAGGTTCATTTGGTTTTCAGTTCAACGATGAGAATTCCCCGTCAACAAGGTCTGGGTCTCATAGTTTAAAACAAAAGCTAACTGATACTGCGGAACAGAATTTTTCGTTACAGCAGTTGAGTTGTACTGATGCTCTAAGCACAAGATCAAGAGATTCTATTGCACAGAATGAGGAGAGAATTAAGTTTAGCTTGCATGATGATTTTAATGTCCTGCCTGAGCCATATTCTCAACCTCTAACTGTAGATGATATTATTCAGGTATGTTATCCTGCAAAAGTTATAGATCCTGATTCAAATGATAATGCTTCAGATTATAGCATTTTGTGATGTTTGCTTGCTAAATAATTTGTTATTAACTATATTAGAAGTTCTAATAAATTGTCAAGAGTGTCTTAAATTGCTTACCCTTGAAGCATTTGTAAATGAACAAAATGAACAATGTGCAATGCTAGGGTGATGGAGTTTGTTGCTTCAAGTGGAAAGGATCATGATGCATTGTATTGCTTTTGATTAATTGAAGCACAGGCTGTTAAGTACCAAACATTTTAGACTATAATCAATGAAATCATTAGAACAGTCGGTCTTGTAATTTTCAAATTATGAGGCTCAAGCCGTTTATGGAAAATGAAGAGCTATTTCACGAGTGAACAACTTAAATATAAATGTACAAAGTATGAATTACGTGATATAACAATAAAAATAGAAATCTCTATTTTCATTTAGGGTGCTAAGATCACTAAAATCAATGTAATCTCATAATCTTCATTGAAAAACTTATCAAAATATCTCATTCATCTATGTTGAATATCTTCTTTTAATAAAAGTATATTTTGATATTCATCTTTAATGCACTTCACTTGAATTAGGTCATTACTTATCCCATATCTTTGATTGGCTAACTTATATATATACATCTTTTGTCCTCCTTAGTATTTAATATATTATATAAATTACTAAAAGCTAAATTCTTTGCATTGAAATTTATTTTCTTAGGCTTCTTATGGACTTTTCTATATCTTTCCGAGTTTTAACGTCTAAACTATTTTTTATGAGCATTATTAACTTCTTTCTTTTCTTGATCTCTCCAAAGCCTTTCTCTTGGAACTTTATCATATGATTTTTTTAAAATCAATAAATATCATCGACAAAAATAAAAATCTATATTTTCATTTAGAGTATTAAAGTCATAGAGTCCAACGTATTTTTATAATTTTTATTGAAAAATTTATCAAAAAATCTCATCAACCTTTGTTGAATATTCTCTTCTAATAAAACTACTTTTTGATCTTTAATGCACTTCACTTGAACTAGATCATTGCTTCTCTATCTCCTGCTTGGTTAACTTATTGTGGGTTCCGAAAATTCGTGCCACGCCTCTCCACGGCCCCTTTCTTTTTTTGTGTCGTCGAGGAGAGTTTTAACAAATTTAGATTATGGGGTAAATTTTCAGAAGATAGATTGGGTTTTAGATAAGATACTACTCAGATATTTCGCACTCATTTTGCGAGGACTTTATGATATGTGTTTAGGTTTCCTGTAGGTGTAAGCCCCTATAGTTAATTATCTCTCCTGATAATGAGAGAGAACTTTCGATTAAGACTAGTCGTTAAATAGATACATAGTATCCGGCATATAGTAGCTGTAGAATTTGATATTGAAAATTAGAATTTTATCTCTTTGCACTTAAAGCGGATGGTGGGGGGAATGATGATGAACTTGATCAAGATCCCATGATTCCAGGCCATCATAGTTCCTAGTCTACTTTGTCAGAGGAGTTAGTCAACCCATCCTGACTGAAGGATCCTTATCAGTTGCCATGGTTGCGTCGTCCAATGGTACCTTATAGACTTGAGGTGAATGTTTGCCTAAGTAGATGGATTTGAGTCCACCTTAGCTAACAAAAGGCTTTGTGCCATATCGATTATATCCTATTTATTTATTACTCTAGGATTTAAATCCATTGGAGAACATAAGGACTCTAGTTGTGATCGTAATTTAGTGGCACCACTTAGCGATAAAATCACCCATCTGAGGGATTCAATCATAACCATTTATCTGATGTGTCATTTGATGACAAAACCATCAGTTAGAGGACACGTGCCATGTCCTTACTTGCAGGAGATAATTTGAGAATGAATCCTAGTGATATTCTCAATCGAACATTTTCTCTTTGTGATTTGAAGTGACTTTCAAATTTATTTACCTCGACAAACTGTTCTAGATGGTGAATATATTTTGCTTTAAGTTTAGATGATTAAATTTCAGGTTTTAAATATTAATTTTATTAATAGATGTAGAGTTTTGAGTCTTTGATAGATATTTAAGAATCAACCCCTCTGGTTGAGATTTACATTCAACATGACCATCATCGAGGATTATGGGTAATTTGATCTTATTAGTCAAACATAGTCAACTTTGTTTACTTGCCAATAGGTCGGGTTCAGTGTCGGTTTTACGGCTTTAGTGGTGAATATTTCTTATAATAGACTTTCATGCCCTAATATGAATGTATAAAACGAATACTCTGGTCAGGACTACGACCGTGTATTTGTTTGATGGTTCAAGTTGTGTGAACTCCTATCCTTTTAAAGAGGAGGATCATACTTGAACTTAAATTTATCCTGACTCGCGCAGCATCATCCGATGTCACGTGTGTACATACATCATGATTGTCGGGGGCCATGCGAGTATATGCTTTTGAGTACATTCTGCATGATGTATTTATATGGTGGCTATATGGATGTTGTGCAGTGGGTGTGTATGACATATCTGTGTGTTCACATACACACTCATGTATTCATCTGCATGTTGACAGACTAACATATGTATTTATATGTTTGCATGTATGTTTACATATGCATTTGTGCAGTACTTAACGTACTTGCATGATGTATTTACATGTAAAGTAGTAACTTAATGCATTAACATAGTGTATAGTATATTTACATGTCGGTATAATGCGTTATTATGACACACTGTATTTTGCATGTTGGATGACATGCTTGCATAACACATTTTACATATTGCAATGTGTATGTGCACAGTGTGTTGCATGTTAATGTAGCACGTCGTCACGGCATAACGTACTTTACATATTGAATGGTATGTTTGCTTAATGCGTTCTACATATTTCAATGTGTATGTGCACTTTACATGCCTTCCAAAACATTTACATGATGCATGTATATTCTCGATACATTGATACATATTTTAATGGGCACTATTTTTCAAAACAACGACACTTCTCAGTGCGTCGCAGCTAAGTTTAGGAAATCATATTTCGATGCATGAAGGGGTGTTCTTGAAATATTTAAATATGAATAATTGCGCAAATAATTATTGTTGAAAATGCGCAAAATTCCATTTAAGGGCCTACAAATGCCTTCTATCCGCTTGTACAAATGTTGCGGACCGGTGGCATGGTGGCTAGTTAGGTTTTATTTGTCATGTATTGGCGGTGCTATTTAGTTCATTTAATCTTCTGCAAACTGCCATTTTTCCCCAACCTAACTTGTAGGAGCGTTCTTCAGGATGTTAAGGGGAAGAGGTGTTAGTGGGATGTTGTGGAGTGAAAGCTGCAGTTGGGTTGGGTGAGGAGAAGGTATAGTGCAAGTGAGGTGCTGAGAAATGTGAGGGGTTGCTGGTTTGTGTTTGGAGAAGTGGTGGCTTGAGTGGTCAACCTGGAGTGCTTGTAAGAGTGGTTGAAATGGCAGAAGGAGGCTGCTGTTTGGGTGAGGGAGTATGGCTCGTGGAGGGAAGAGGAGCAGCAGAGTTTGATTTAGTGTGTTTGAGGAGCAGGTGGCAGGATGTAGTGTCTTTGAGGGCTATTGGTTTCTTGTGATGTGCTTTTGAGTTCACTAGTAGGTAGAGGGTGAGGGGGAAATTCAGCTTATGTAGGTAGGTGGAGAGGTGGTTGCTTGGAGTGTGCTGGGATAGTGGTGGAGTGCTTAGTTCAGGTAGGAGGAAAGCGAGTTCAGGTTTGGAGTTGGAACAGTGGAGCTGTTGTTGGTGTGTGGAGGGGAGATGACTGCTGCTATGAGATGAGTAGAGGGAATGAGCCTGGCAGAAGAGGGTTGGGGCCTCTATTTTTTTGTTATTTCAGTGCTGTAAACAAGCTGGCACAAAGATGGCATAGAATAGGATAGGATTGGGTGGCTGACAGGATTTTGGGCAGGGATTTTGGTAGCATATAGGAGGAAAGATAGGAATTTTTATTACAACAATTTCTAAGTATTTTTGACATTCTGAACGCAACAGCATAGTCTGTTTTGCGAATAGGCGGTGTTCAGGTAACATCGCACAATATTTCATACGTAATTGGTCAATTTTGATCACCTTCGATAGCATGAGCAATATTATAGCCTTTTAATATGATTTTGATTTTCCGGATATAACTGCGAAATCTGTTTTGTGAACGGGTGGTGTTTGGATAACGCCGCATAATTTTGCATTTATATTCTGTCAATTTTGATCACCTTCGATAGCATGGGCAGTATTATAACCTTCTTTTTATGAATTTGATGTTTTGAACACAATGACGAAGTCCATTTTACAACACGTTGCTTCTAGGGAACACTCTAGTATTAATACAATGTATTAAAAGATTTATTCTGGTTATACAACACGTCGCTTCTAGGGAACACTCTAGTATTAATACAATGTATTAAAAGATTTATGATGGTTATTTGACAAATTTCACGTTAGCTGTCGATTATCCATTCCAACACTTCTCTTTTCTCATGCAGGGCTTGAGACCTAACAACAACAGTTTTAGGAGCAACCCATGACTATAGATAAAAATATCCTTTAGTTGGGTCAGTTACTTTCTCTACTAAGAATACTAGGGATCCTGATAACATAAGACGATATAATCATGATATCTTGATCGAGTTCATCATCATTCTCCTACCATCTTTTTTATGCCAATAGTGATAAATTTTTCAACCTTATACCAACTGCTGACGCTATACACTAAGCATTTATGTTCTAGTGACCAGCCTTAATCGAAAGGTTTCTCTCTTTAGTGGGATGAGTAATTAACCTTATAGGGTAACTCCTATGGGAAATTTGAAACAAGATCATAAAGATCTTACAAAATGAGGGTGGAATCTTTGGGTAGTGTCTTATCTTCAACCTAATTTGCCTTCTGAATATTTGACCCCGTTTGCTACAAATCCTGGGCATGATTTTTGAAGCCCACGCCTCGGGATAAAGATCTTTTACAATATTGAACCCCTTGACTTTGGAGTGAAGGTTAC